TTTTTAAGGATATATTTAAAAAAGTAACAAGATTCATATACTTATAAGAATCACTATATGCGCTGTCTTTTTGCTATTCTTTTATGGATCGTTTCTGGAGCATCTCTACCAAGAGTCCAACAGTAGTCTGCAAGCATGGAAGGATTCCACTTTCCCTGGTACCTTTTTTCCATTGTAGAAATATCCTGATGAAAACGTTCGCGGTGCTCATCACTTACGGCTCCGCAATTGTCAGGAAAAAAGTCCAGGTGTGAGTGTAGGAAATGTATCTTCAGAGACATATTACAGCCCATCTTTTGATACGACGACAGCATATTTTTGACAAGGGTTTTTTAGTTGTCAGCTTTTCTATTTCCCAAGAAATTAGTGACCACCAGACGGAAATCATTCCAAGCAGTTTTTTCAATACCTGTTAAAGTGTTTTCAAACTGTGTATCTTTCAAAATATTTCGAATCTGTGGCCCAACAAAAATACCTTCTTTAACCTTTGCCTCACTTAGTCTTGGAAATTTCTGACGCATTTATTGAAAAGCTGACCCATCTCTATCTAATGCCTTGACAAAGTTTTTCTTTAGGCCCAACTTGATATGCAGTGGTGGTAATAAATTTTTTTTCGAATCTACTAATGGCATATGCTGTACATTTTTCGAGAGAATATGGCGGGTGCGGTAACATTTCCCAGCCGAGTTCAGAAATTTTTTCTCGGGTCACTTTTCCGGTATGAGGCTTGGCGTTATCCTGCAAGAATATCACTTTCTTCCGATTGATCAAGAAGGCTGTACATTTTTTTGACGAAACAGGCCAGTTTTGTCTGGTGTAATGAAGTGCCTTTGCCCGACTGTCCCATTCACACAAAAAACAGCAAAACTTTGTGTAGCCTAGCTGCAGCCCAAGTAAAAGTGCAACAACTTTCAAATCGCCACAAATATGCCATTGGTGCTCATAATATTTTATGCATGTCAATAGGTACTTCATATTGTCATATGATTCTTTCATGTGAACTGCATACCCTACAGGAAGAGATGGTAAAATATTTCCAATATGCAATAACACTGCCTTTAAACTCAATGTTGAACTGTCTATAAACAATCTCCATTCTTCTGGGTTATAGTTTATATTTAAAGCCGTCAGTAAGCCGTTAATGTTACTGCAGAAAACCAAGTTATTCTCCATATTGAAAAATGGTTCTAAGTCTTTGTGGCGTTTACGAAAAACACATACCGAAACATCGTCTTCTAACAAGTTCCACTGCTGCAGTCTTGATCCAAGTAACTCTGCCTTACATTTTGGAAGTTCTAAATCTCTTACAAGATCATTTAACTGTGACTGTGTTATTTTGTGCGGTTGGTGGCATGACGTGCTCGGTATAAAATCAGGATCTCTTGACGTTGATGGCATATCTTCTTCCTGACGAATCACTCGATCGCCATGATCTGAGTCGTTTTCTGATTCGCAAGTGTAGGATTCTGGGGGTTTTGGAATAGGATTTTCGTCACTGTGAGGCACAGGTCTCATCGCAGATGGTATGTTTGGGTAGTTAATAACCGATTTTTTTTTCTTGGACATACCTGTGGCTTGTCCAACACAAGGTACCATGCAAAAGTAACAAACATTAATATGATTTGTAGGCTCTCTCCAAACCATTGGGACAGCAAAGTGCATAGACCGTTTTTTGCCATTTAACCAGCTCCTCAGACTTGAAGCACATGTATTACAGCAGATGTGGGGTGCCCACTGTTTGTCTTGATCACCTAGTTTACAACCGAAATAAAACTGATATGCCTTTGTTATTAGTGGAGTAATAGACCGTCTCTGAGACGCAAAAGTCACATCACCACACACGTAACAAAACTGATCTGGATTGTTTACACACTTTCGAGACATCTTGCATGAACGCTGTCAGCCAACTGAGGAAAAAATGGCTAATATAAAACAATATAATGTACACGTATGTATAACGTAACACAATCATGCCGATTACATCATCTTTCCTTGCCGAATATAAAAATGTAGCACGTGCATTCTTGTGAATTACAGTATATTAACACTGTCACAGCAGGAACACATATAATTACCATATCTCTAAAACTTGAACTAATATTGAAAAAATAAGTTTCATTCCGGTTTTAGCACATTAAAAATAGTACTATTTTGTTGATTTTATTTAGGATATTTTTTGGCTGTTGATCAGTGTGTCCAAGTCAATTTAGCTCGGTACTTGATCAACACTCTGTACAGCTGAGGCAGACGTTTTATTTTACAATTCGCCTTGCCCTCAACTTGTTTTATTCTCATAGCATATTCAGACTTCCAGCGCCTATTATACGCCTATAGTCTATAGGTGTTAGGTTTGGGTATCTTGGTGGCCATGCCATACGCCTTCCGCTGCAAATAAGTTTCCACCGCCAGAAAAAAATTATAGATTGATCCGACTTGTACTTTATTCCTACTCTAACATTGCTTGGATTGTGGAAAGTGCAATTCGTCGTCTCCGGCACTGGTTTGTCATGCAACAGAATTCGAGGCCATCTACGATCTGTGCGCTGCACTTCGTCGACTAACTCTTCGACCGTGATGGCGCGCTAATTTTACATTTTTTTACCATCCTCTTTTTAAGCGGTCGGCGAGCGTTGAAAAAACATTTGAAATGCTAATTTCAAAGCCAGGCTGGGCAGTGTTCTATCATACCAATGGCGTACCAAGGATTTTAGTTTAAATTGTTTCTAATTTTTCAAACAATTAGCAGTATCAAAGGGTCATCGGTGAATGGAAGTTGATGAAGTATTGAGCTCCTAACAACCATTCTCAAGCAATAACTAACTCCACTCCAGGAATGTCCGGGTGAAGGGTGGGCTCGAGGGAACAACATCGAAGATAAAATTTGTTTTACAAACATCTGCGGGATTAACAGCAACATTGAAGCCGTTCATCACTACCTGCAATCTAATCGTCCCGCAATGCTTTTCTCAGAGTCTGCACCGATTAGCCATTTCAACTTCCCAAACTACGAGGTGCACTCCAATCTGAGAAAGAACGGGGGAGGTATGGATTTTGTCCGCAGCAGTCTTTCCTGCTCCAGAGATGTTTCTTTGGAATCAAATCGGAAGGACATTCTAAGGCTTCGCCTCAACTCCAAAACATCACCCAAATTTATTTGCTGCCTTTATCGCTATCCTTTGGACCATAACTGGCAGGACCTACTGGAATACCTCGCCGTCAAGATCGACTTCCTGAACATCAATCTCTGCTGCTGAGCTGGAAAAAAGAAGGCTAGCGACGACATCCTCTCTGACAAGAGACCTGGAGGCTATCACTGCTTGGGGACGCAACAATCTTGACAGTTCAATGCTTCCAAACACAGTACTGTACTTTGACGAACAAAAAGCGTCCTAGGGCTCATCCGGTTTAGATGGATGGCCGAGTTCTGTTAAAGAGCCATTCATTTCGGCTGGTCGGAGTCCAGATTACCGAGGGCTTGATCTGGCAAGAACTCATCTCTTCAATAGCTGCAGCTCTAACACTACACAAGGCGCAGATAAGGCCTAGCCTCGAGTATTGCTCACACGTTTGGGGTGCTGCCGCCCCGACAACATTATCCATGCTCGATGCTGTCCAGAGCAGGGCGGTCCGACTGATCGATGACTCTTCTCTAACAGACAGTCTCGGAACTCTTTTGCACCGCCGGGCCGTCGGCGATCTAGCTCTTTTCTACCGCTACACCAACGGACTTTGCTCCTCGGAGCTTTTTTCCATGATGCCGCCGCGCGATGTGCCTGCCAGACAGACCCGCCTAACTTTGGCGTCCCATCCTAACCGTGTCGAGCTTCGTACATCCAGAACTGGGCGATACGACCGCTCCTTTGTCCCGTGAATGTCGAAACTGTGGAACAATCTACAAGAGGAAGCTTTTCTCAGTTCTACTAACCTTAGGCAGTTCCAAAATCGTATTAAAAAAATTTCTTTGGGATCATCATACCAGCCGCGGTGTTCCGGCATTTAGGCTTCTGCCTGCGCGGCTGCTTGGATATATAAAAAAAATAAGATTTAAAGCGCCCATGGAACTTCACAAAGTGCAAAGCGCACTCCTCCAGCAGATAGCTACAGTTTATTTACTGAAACAAGGCAGTTACGTCATATTTACCTACTAAATTTGAATGCCAAAATAGATCCTAAATTGGTACGTATAGTTTGAATTTCCCGGGAACATTTATGTTGGTTACAGTTTTCTGTGTTGTGAAATTGTCGCAAAGCTTGTCTGGTAATTATGCCAATGGCTGTTGTTTATTTGTGGTTTATTTTCGTTCTTTTTGCCTCAATATTTGCATTCTTATTTTACAATAAACAGTTTTTTTTCAAAACTTTGACGTGTCCTTCTGAGCATTTTGCTAAAATGCCGAACCTCTGCGTCGACAAGCAAACGAATTCGTCATTTCTTTGACGAAATATTTTGAGACCTAACGAGATCATGGAGCTCCATTATTACCTTTACAGTCCGTAAGCGAGGTATTAGATAGTAAATAGAATTTATACTAGCTCTAGCGTTTACAAAACATATGCACCGTAATGTTAGTTGCGGTAAGGCATCGAATACATAAAGTAGATTTTGTAAAACGTCCTAGGATCTAGTAGTTTTAATTAATGTGACAACCATGTGCGTTACTGTCATTATTTGACGTTGTTAGCAGATATGGAGAGAAAAGAAAAAAGTATAAAATACAGTCGATAGTAAGGATAAAAGATAGTTACGAGGGATAAGTTTTGCATATGAAAATAAAACAACACGGTAGGTAGTTTTAAATGACTTTATTGTTTTTCGAAGTATTCTCCACGAAGATTAATTACACATCTGCATGCGCTCGAACCAATTTTCGAAGCACTTATTCTACTCGTTTGCTGGCATATCCAAAACGGCATTTTTGAATGCGTCAACTGCTTCTTCTGGTGACTGGAACCTTTGACCACGCAGTCTGTTTTAAATTTTCGGGAAAGTAAAGAAATCGTTAGGACTTAGATCGGGACTATATGGAGGATGGTCCAATAATTCCACGTTTTCTTCCGTTAAATACTGCCTTGTTTTTGGCAAACAAATGGTGGTATACCAATCCGCAGTATCAGTTCTTTGTTGTCTATCTTCAATGACGAGTTTGCGCACAGCATCGACGTTTTCCTGGGTGACTGCCGTTTTTGGTGCACCCTCCCTGTGATCGTCGCTAAGAAATTGTCGACTGATGTGGCGCTTCGTTGCCGAAAACAGACAGTAACTCAGCAAGGCATTCTTGTTGCGATAATTGTCTCTGAAAGTTGTAATAAATTATGGCGCGAAAATGTTCTCGGTTGAGTTCCATTTTTCTAATGACTTGTGACACTTAAAAATTCACTGTAGTGAGAACACTGCACGTGTTGTTGTGAAACTTTGAATTTAATTTTACTAAAGAGTGAGGTTAAGATTCGGTAGTGACGATCGATCCGCGCGGCCTACTATGTTTCTATATGCAAAACTTAAAAGACATCCGTCGTATACGCTACAAAAAATGCATGAGATTTGAACAGTTAAATCGCGTATAACACAGTATTCCAAAAAGCATTCGATAGAAAACCGTGAGAAGCAGGTACACAAACATATACAGTAATTTTATCACAAAGAAGAAACATTCTCCGAAAAAGTAAAGTCATTACATATTCACAATAACAAAAAGTAAAATTAGTTGTATCAGTATACAGTGTCATCAAGGGGTTATTAGAACAATTAATGCATTTAAATATATTATAAGATCAGTGATTATAAAAGTACAATAAACTTTGTTTGAGGAGGACAGACCTAACAAGTTTACAAAACTAGAACAACAGCAACTCACACACAGTCGTAATTGAACAAATGAACACAGTAATCGACAAATAGCTGTGTAAAGTTGTCTCCGATCACTAGAAAGGTTAAGACTAACATATTCCCCCTTTCTAATCATTTATCACTTTGAAGAATCTATAGAAGAGACAGCGGCAAACTATTCAGACTTTACGTGTCTAGCGTTCTCATTTTCATCCCAGAATGTCAACGTGGGGGTTCCCCAGAGACCGGTATTGGGTCCAACATTGGTTGTTCCTTAACTAACAAGAAGATTAGTACAAGCTCTTTACTAGTAGCAGCGGTGTCCTGGTATTTAGGCTTCTTAATTTCTGGTGACCGATTAGAATGATAAAATCGCGCCAATCCCACTTTTTATGACGTTACGCCAATGCGCTATTGCATTTTTTCATATGAAACACCTCGCCTGCATAATTCTTGTAGCCTATGCGATTACGTTTTCTTTTGTTTCTTCCTATTACACACGGCCAACGCTGTTTACTCCGACACCAAAGTCAATGCTGTATTTATTATATAACATTGATAATCGCCACGCCGCCGTTGAAGAATAGAATAGGCGAACTCGTTTCATAGCCCAAGACAATAAGGTTTATATTTTTGGGAATGAAAGATAATAAATTAAGAAATTGCATTTAAAAAACCGGAATTGGCACATTCCTAGATCAATAGCGTACTTATCGATTTGATGTTAGTTTACTGTGAGAGTTTTCAACATCCTGTTGGTACTCCGCGAGTGTACGAGTATTATAGGCTTGATTATAGGGTGCAAAAGCAGACTGTGTCATTAATTTTCAGATAATGATTGTAGAAGGAAGATAAACCAAAATATGTGTGTAAAAATAAAAAAAAATGTTACCTTGTTTTATAAAGTATCCTCCCGACAAATATTTCAGTGCGGACCTGTATTTGATCGTGCGGTCTTGGAGCACCGGCATGCCCTCCCCTGTGAGGTCTTAAGTCACCTGATTCACGAGCCGTTTGTACTACATTAACAAAGGCACCAGGGGTTGGTTGCACTCGATTGGGAAACCGATCCGCATAAATCCGTGATGCCGCGGCAGCATTTTGTAAAGACTCCCCCCCGTAAATAAGAATCATGTCCACAAGTTCAGAATTTTCGTAAACTTGTGCCATTTTTTATTTCGTTTGAGCCGCCCAACAAACACCACTATTCACTCACGCGTCACCGACTGACACATTAACTGAATACAACTGAATAAAATTGTAGTAAAAACATCGTGATAAGCGTTTCAAATTCTTTCGCTTTTTTATTATATCCGTTGTTGCTAAACACGAGCACATAATATTATTATTGAGACAGGGCGGTGCTCAAACTTCTAAAGGGCTATAACTTTGTTAATTTAATTTTACCAGAAAAATGTTAAAGGAAAAAACGTTTCTTTTGATCAGATCTACTCACTGTTAAAATAAATGACTCAACTTCGAAGTCACCCTGTATGAAAAAGGCACTATTTACAAACAAAACATGTGTCAGGCCAGTACTTGAAATTCCTTACCAAATGAACAATGAGTATTTTTCTTCAGTTTCTTTTTGACGTTTTCATTTTTACAGCAAATTAAATTTCGAACTTGTTGTTCCTGAAAACGAAAGTCCCAACTTTCACGGCAGCTGTATAAAATTTCAGCAATCATCTTCCATTTTGAGACTGAGACCTTTTCTCTTGGGCTATATCCGAACTCGTGTCATTGCTATTTCTATTTCTGTCCAATCTATGAATGGAATTGAACGATTTATAGCTAGTAATGAAAGTTGTACTTGTTGCGGTTAATTCAATTATAACTTATCTCTTCTTCGCCTACGCGGCGCATTTTTTATTCACGCTCGCGAGGAAGTAAATGTGATATAACTGTTATAAAAGATGCAACTAAAAGGTCTAAAATACAGATAATTTGGATGAGAGAGATTTAAGCATGTCTTATACCGACAGATTTTCATAGTTTTTCCTGTCCTTCAGAAAGGCAGGGGTATTTCTAGATTTCTACTGTTTTGGGTAAGAGCTCTATTTTGAGGTCATATACTAAGTGACATATAAATCCGAACACCCAGTTTAAATGGTTTTATTTTAATAAAAGTTGGTGAATGTATTTATCTTACTGTAAATAACAAGTGAAAAAATTTTCAGCCTTATCAGTTGGACATTCCGGTTTTTATACTGCTTTTTTTAATTCAGTAACGCTCTAAAAATGAATATTTCAGCCGCAGCAACGTTGGCGGATTTTGGTTCTTGACATCCTTTACGATCGGTTACGATGCCTAGAGTACGGAGACCTGTACGATTTCGTCAACTTAGGGTACGAACATAGTGGAGCGACGAGGTTTCAGATTCAGATAGAGGCTAACCGCGCGGTTTGCCGCTATGTGAGTCAAAAACACAGGTTGAAACCTGTCGGGCCATAGTAGCGCGATAAGGCATGCGTCGAGTCTCTAGGAGGTTTCGAGCGACGAGTTTTAAATAGTTGCATTCAATTTTTGTCACGCGTTTTCAAGCGATTTAATAATGGATGTTGTGCAATTAATAAATAGTGTATATCACAGAAGGGCTATATGGGATCAGAGTCATCCAGATCATCGCAACCGATACGTGCTAGATAAGTTATGGGAGGAGGTAGCCAATGAATGCAATAATCAGTCGGGTAAGTAAATAATTGTATTTTATACACATTTCAACAGCTAGAACTTACATCTTGCGGTAAAATTTTAAGCTGTCTCGTAACTGATTGGAAAGAAATTAACATAGTTACAGAAAATGTCGCGAACTCTTTGACCTTCACCCAGTTGCCTTCCTCTAGGTAATTCAAACATCTGATCTCTAGGAACTGCATCAGTTACTAATGTTAAATGTCGTTGAAATCCCTCTCGGTCCAGTATTGTATTATGCAAAATGCATATCGCCTTAATGATATCATCCGCAGTCTTTTCAGTAGTCTCTATAGCTTTGGACAGAAGACGCCACTTCGCGTACATAATTCCAAAGGTGCACTCGATAGTTTTGCGTGCTCTGGACAATCTTTGGTTAAAATTTATATGTTCCAAAGAGCGGTTCCTTCGATTGTATGGTTTTAGCAAATTGGGCATTAGTGGATACGCTTCATCTGCAATAAATACGTAGGGAGCGCGGACATTTGTTCCTGGTAAACTATCTGGATTTGGCACATTTAGTTTGTTTTGGTGTATCCGTTTGTACAAATTGGAACTCTGAAACGTTCCCCCATCGCTCTGTTTGCCGTAACCTCCGACATCTATCACAAGCAATTTGTAATTTGCGTCGCAAACTCCTTGTAGGACGATAGAAAAATAATGCTTATAATTGAAGTACATGGATCCGGAATGTTGTGGTGCTATAACTTTGACGTGTTTGCCGTCAACAGCTCCGATGCAATTGGGGAAGTTCCATACTTTCATGAAGTCTGCACTTACATTTAAAAATGTTGCCGTAGTAGGTTCTGGCATGTGAAGTGGTTGCAGCATGTTCCATAATATTTTAATCATATGTTTTATAATGCTCGCAACAGTACTCCTGCCCATTCGAAAGGAAAATGCCAAGTGTCTAAAGGACGCTCCTGTTGCAAGATATCTGAAAATTTTTGTTTGTTGCAGTTAAGAAAGTTTCTGAGAAGTGGAAAAATCTACGTGATTATTTCAGAAAAGAACTGAAGAAAATACCTCTGCCCCGGTCTGGTGATCCAGGCGAAGAGGCTCTTAAAAAGAGCTCCTGGCCTCATTTCAAAAGTTTATTGTTTCTGAGAGACCAGTTTCTGCCGAGATCCAGTCATAGCAACCTGTTGGATCCCGACAATGACACACAAGTTTCGACACCCTCTACGCAGATGGATGAAAATGATGGTGACTATGACGAAGACGAAATGGACGAAACGCAGGGTGTAGAAACGCAGGAAACAGAACCCGACCACACAGAATCAGTCACTCCAATTCAAAGCACACCAAAAGAACCACGAACTATTCTAAAGAATAGGGCCCGAAAACGGTCAAATCAACTTGACGCTTTTCTTGAGATAGAGAAGAAAAAACTACAATATTTAGATGAGAAACGTGTCGCTGCAGACCGTGGCAGAGCCCTACCAGTCACAGATGACGATAAACTGTTTTTTGATAGCCTTTTGCCCCACGTGGTG